AATAAAATTCTATCAATTAAATTATATACATAAACAAAATGTAATGTAAAACATTACTGATTGCTTGAGTTTTGGTTACTTTGACCATAACTGACCCAAAACTGAGTATAAGCATGGGTGACTATTTTTATAATTTTATACATATTATCAGCATAGTTTTCAGTATAATCTTATATTTAATTGACACTGCGACGAATATATCCCAAATTGTTAGCATGTTTCGTTTACATTAGGGACCATCTATATACAGCCACGACTTCCATATACAGTAATATACTTCTATATACAGTCAATCTCCACAACTTCCTCTCCCTCCCTCTCTCTTCCAAGATTACGTACTGATCTGAATCACCCCAAAAAATTCATATTCCTTTCCCCCTTTGCAATTGACTGTATTAAATTATGTAAATTTTAAATTAAAATTAACTGGGTGATCTAAACTAATGGGTGTCTTAAGGGTTTTAACAACAAATGAATGTAGTATTTGAGGGTATATTTTTTCATATGTGAATTCACCTTACTTAAAATTTTGTGAAACCCCATCTATTTTCTATGATAGATTTGGTTAGATTTTGAGTTAGAATTACTGTTATCTAGGTGAATTCAAATAGAAAATAATATAGCACCAAGTACTACATTCATCTGTTGTTAAAACTCTGAAGATACTCATAAGTATAGATAACCCTGTTAATTTTAGTTTAATATTTACAAAAGTTAATACTTACAGTTAGCATAATGATAGTATATTATATAATAAATCAAATCAAAATTTTGATTGAATAATGATTTTTTTATGCAAACCTGGCTCCCATTATGGCCAACATATTTCCAGCTTTAACTTCACCTGATACTATTAGTTAATAGTCATGTAATTACTTTAAAAATAAATGTATGTAAACACTATTAATAGCAAATACCGTTCCTTAGGATCTCTTTCGGAGTTTTGTTGGTTTGAAAACAATTATAAATAGATTTCTGTGTTTTAGTCATCACTTGGATATTAGTCCACGAAATACACACCGAATGTATGGTCTCTCCCGGACTCCCATTCCTATTGTCGGCAATTATTTCCGACATTTCAATCATTTTAATTATTTGAAATTTAATAAATAATAAAAATAATATTTTTTAAAACAAAGTCTTATACTACTTATTTACTTATTATATTACTTATTTTAATAATATCTAATATAAACTTTAATAATATCTAATATAAACTTTAATAAAATCGAATGATTGTGCTATTTTAAACATATTTTTAAATTATTATTCTTAGCATTAAGCAATTATAAATATGCTTGCTTGCAGCATAAAACTAACATAAAATAACTTAAATAGCTTATCATGTTTTATTATTTGCACTATACATTTATTTATATAAAAAATCCCTAATATCTATTACATTATGACCATGTATTATTTATTGTCCCAGATATATTTACTCAAAAATAAAGTTTAAGACAATATTAATGCAGTAGTTTTGTATTAACAATTTCTATACATTATGAACTACTGACCTGTAAGATACCTCTGGCCCCACATTGGAC